TACTGCGGCTAAGCTTAAATAGCCGCTTTGTCTTTCGATATGAGTTGTTGTGGCGGATACGGATAGTGCCTTATGCGACGCTTTATCAGGATGCCAGTACCTCTATGAGCCTTACCATCGAGATGTTTGGTCGCATAGAAGTTGTAGCCATTGAGATGAAAATCATTTTTGTTTGTTAGATGAGTCTCTGATATGAGCATGGCGTCAATGTCATGTTGATTGAGGAACTGCAGGAGCTCGCATTTGGGCTCTGAAATGCCATTCGCATTCCAGAAAAATATTTTTAGTGAAACCATTTAAGTTGATTTCTGTTTGATTAGTAATTCCAGAAGAAGATTTTGATTGCGCATAATTTCGTTTGTTGTATTGCTATCATTGTATTTGTTAGAGTTGCCAGAATTGATTCAATCCCACTAGGCAATTGGGATGGATTTGCAGTGGTATGTTGGGTAGTAGTTTCTGGCCCCTGTTACGATGTCTGACGATTCATTATTCCTGCAGTGGTTTGTTTAGAGACTGAGGCGTACGACTCGTTGGTGTAACTTAACGCCTTAGCAAAAGATACTCCTGGAATCGTAGTTGATGGTATGTATGGCAACTTTTGTCGGATGACTGGTTTTCGAGAGGCGGATTTAAATCTTTATATGAAAGTCAACCTCTTTAGTTGGCAGTGTGGTTTTCGCCACAGTTGCTACATGTTTTAGCAGAGGGGTCCTCCTTATTTACAGGGAAGGCCTCATTGAGATGAACATCCCCGCACGCAACACAGACTGCGCGTAGGGTACAATACGTTTTTGTGTGTCCATATTCCTGGTAGTTTTGCATTGGACAGGTCCATTTCGCTTGTGCGGTTCCTCAACGGTGATTTTACGGTGCAGTAGATATTGCAGCTTGTAAATTGGGTGAACTTCGTTTTTATTTATAGGCATACAGTTAGGTGTCAGTTCTACCTTGAACATTGGTTGGGGAATTTTATTTCTATTTAATATGTTCATTGCTATTTTGACTTCAAAGTCCTTATCTTTAAGTCCATCTTTTATCTCGCTGACTGGAACCGTTGGCTCGATTCCTATGATAATCACTTATAATCCCTTGCTACTTTTAAGTTGGTGGTGGTTGGTGTAGTAGTTCATCTTTTCAGTGATCGACAGGTATTTTCGTCATTGACTTGTATTTTAGTTTCATTTATGCTACCCCTTTTTATAGACCTAACATAGAATTTGTTTTCTCCAATTTTGGTAGTGAGTTTTTTAACCAATTCTGTACAATTTGCCTGCCGCACATAAATAGGTGGCGGCTTTAGTTGCTTAGCCTTAGCTGTTTCGGCGTTATCTTCTTCAGGTAAACTGAGAATCGCGAATCTATTGTTTTTCAGCGCCTCAGTTGGCACAGTGTTATTTTTCTGTTTTAGTTATTTTGGGTGCGTTGTTTCTCTTAGTTGCTTGTGGGCTCAGTTTTCGTTTAATTTGCACATAGCGATCCAGTCCACTCTGTATTAACGCTCCGTTAGCGCTTTGCATACTTTTCGGCTGGGAGAGGGGTCGCAGTGAGTTGACAATAACGGGCGCTGAGGGACTGCTGTTGTTGTTGTTATAGTTGTCGTTGTCGAATACACAGTTGTAAGCGAGGGCATTATACAGGTTGTTGTTGTTATCAGCAATTCATTGTTAAGACAGTAGGGGTCTGGAAACGGGCACTGGGCACTCCATGACCCACTTTACAATGTGCTGGGTGATCATATTAGCAGGGGAGAGAGAGCGTTCACTTACCGAACTAGCTTGCAGTAATGCAGTTGTTATTCGTACCGTTACATCGGGCGCGTATAGAAAAGTACGCGTTGTTCGAAGCGACTAAAGTCGACGAATTAAATATATTTAATACATACTAGCAGGTTGTCTTTGGAGTGGCAATGCGGAGTCCGTTCTTTGGAATTTGGCCAGCATAAAGAGCTTGAAGTCGCCACCGTATCAAATAGTACAGCCATCAAGAAAACAAAGCGCGGAGACCTTCCGGGGCACTAATAATTAGTCCAGTCAAGAAAGGTTTAGTGTATTTTAATGTCTTCATTAATAACGGTGTCGATCGATTTGTAATTTTTTATTTGGCTGGGGGCTTTTGAATAATATTGCCTTAATATTTAAAGTGACAATGTTTCGAGGATGATTATGAACTGACAGCATGCTATTCAGGAGATTTAAAAGGTAATTTTTTTACACCTTTGGTTACATTATTGGCGTTTTAATAAGGATTCCATTCTTTTTTTTGAAATATAATATAGCCCATATTCACCGTCGATAGTGTAGCTTCCCAACAGTGAAAGAATCCATTAAATCGGTCCAGTAGATACGGAGCCTTTTCAATTCAAGCAAACATACAAACAAACAAACAATCAAATCTTTCCTCTTTATAATATTAGTATAGACATAAAAAAAAAATTTTTTTTTTTTTGAATAGCAGAGTGCATTTTATTTAAAACTGTCCATCGTGGACAATCATTAAATTAGTTAAATAAACTTGACAATTTATTATTTCATTTATTATGAGGTTGTAATATCCCGCTAGTTCCTGGGGAGGTCCAGAGGATGGGTCCTGAGTAGCCTCCTGGGCCGTTCGCTGTTTTCCTGCAGTTTCATCGCCAAATTTTTGGGGTGGTCATGTAGCCTCTGTATGTACCGCTTGCTGCTTTTGTTAATTTCATCCTTCACCCAAGGGAAGCTGAGGACTTGATGAAGAGTGTCGTTGTCGTGCAGAGGATGAGCGCTGGTGGCGGAGCGGAGAGCTTTGTCCACAAATGTCTGCATAATGCGGACATTAGTCTTGCAGGCGGTGGCCCACAATTGGATGCCATATGTCCAGATTGGCCCTATGATCGCCTTGTACTTGTATACAAGTAGCTTTGATGACGTCGGCAGCTTCGATCTCCTACCCATCAGCCAGTAGAACGCTTTAACGCGGTCTTCTGCCTGGCGGCGCTTCTTCAGCAGGTGCGGTTTCCACGTTAGCCTCCTGTCGAGGGTAATGGCTTCTTCTGGGATTGTAACATCGTTAAGGCTAACTGGTGGACAGTTGCCGGGGCGGATGGAAAAGGTGGTGGCAGTGGACTTATCGCCGTTGACAGAGATTTTCCACTTCTTGTGCCACGAGTTAAGCAGATGGAATTGCTCTTGCATTACCTGGGAGGCCTCTGCTGGGGTGTCTGCTACGGTAAGGAAGGCCGTGTCGTCGGCATATGTGGCTGCCATAATGGCACATACAAAAGTGAAGACATGTTTATGTACAGTTTCAAAAGCATACATTTACTGTACATAATTATGTCAAAGCAGCAACAACAACAACAGCTGCGGGCAGAACCTCGGCAGAGAAAACCGAGTGCGCGTATAGAAAAGTACGCGTTGTTACGAAGCGACGAAAGTCGACGAATTAAATATATTTAATACATACATACAAAAGTGAACACATGTTTATGTACAGTTTCAACAACATACATTAACATTACATAATCATGTGAAAGCAGGAACAACAAGAACAGCTGCGGGCAGCGCCTCGGCAGAGAAAATATTTATGGATATAACTTTCGTCTTAATTAACCTATCCTAATGCAGCTGGGCATACGGACTCATAATCACTAACTGGAGGTATTTGCCTAATCTGAGTACGAAAATCCAGGAGTTATGGAAAAAACACGAATTGTGGTGGAGTGGGGGAGAGGGGGGGAGGGGTGTATCAGAAAAAAAACACAAACTCGTTCTGAATAGGACTTAGGGGAATCTGAATGCCAAGTTTGGTTATCCTAACTATTGTACTTTATAATCGATGCGCTTATATACTTTGTGGGGTCTGTCACGGTTCCTTCTTTTTGTTACATACATTCGCACAAAACTAATATAGCCTTTTACCCTTTGGGTACACGCGATACAAATTATATTAATTAAATTATTTAATTAAATTGAACACAAATAATTCAACACATGCATACATACATAAGTGTTTATGTACAATTTCAACAGAAATAATTTACATCAGAATCGTGTCACTGCGTGTTTATATGCGTGTATGTATGCAGCACATAGTTGAACCAAAGCAGCAACAACAGCAGCTGCGGGCAGAGCTGCAGGCAGAGTATGGACAGCGATTTTATACTTGTAAGTATCTTCAGATACCCATAAACTGGATGCAAATACCAAATTTGATTTCAAAATTCCACGAATTACGGAAGTTATAAAAAAAACAGGAATTGCGGGGAGTTGGGGGATGAATCAGAACAAAAAAACAAACTTGACCTGCTTAGAACTTAGGGGAACCTGGATACAAAGTTTGGTCATTCTAGCTCTTGTACCTTCTGAGATCCTTGCGCTTATACAGACGGGCAGACGGACGGACGACGAACATGGCTATATCGACTCGGTTTGTCACCCTGATCAATAATATATATACTTTGTGGGGTCTACCACGGCTCCTTCTGCTTGTTACATACATTCGTACAAAACTGATAGATTTTACCTACGTCGGTATTCGAACTCATGTGAACGGTGTATAATTGCACATTTACAAAGCAAATTCTATTTGAGTACATGTATGTCTATGCGCGTCTATTCGTGTCTGTGTGAGCATGGTTGCAGTCAACCAAAGCACCAGCATCAACAACAGCTGCGAGCAGCGCTTGGGCAGCAATTATATTTATGGCTATAACTTCTTGTTAAATCGGTCTATGTTAGTGAAACTAGGCATACGGACACATAATCACTAACTGGGGGTATTTGCTACATTTGAGTACAAAATTCCAAAAATTACGGGAATTATGGGAAAAACACGAATTGCATGGGAGTAGAGGGTGCATCAGAAAAAAAACACAAGCTCGTCCTTTCTCGTACATCTTGTACATCCTGAGATACTTTCTGGGGTCTGCCACGCCTCCTTCTGGATGTTACATACATTGGAACTAAACTAGTATACCCTTTTACCCTTGGGGTACAGGGTATGTTGAAATGTTGCTAACTTACCCATAATTCAAGGTACACCGGTTTTTGAAAAAGTGGATTTTTCCGTGCAACCACATAAGCCAAATCAGTTCCTCGTTTTGCATCCTAAAAAAATGATGTGAAGACAATTGGTCAAAAGATTATATTAGATTGCTTTATACAATATTTTTCTTAAACACAAGTACATAGCTCAATACACAAAGCGAAGAATATACAAACTATTATATCTTATATATATAAAACAGTTTTTCCTGACTGACTGATCCAAACGGTAAGAGCTAGAAAGCTGAAATTTGGACACAAGATCCCCCTCAGAGTGAAAGAGAGCAATAAGAAGGAAAATTCCCCCCCTTTGGAGCTAGAATTTTCCAAAAGCCTTTCTTAGTGCGCACCTACACTGTGATGGATACTATGAAAGGATACTTGAGTCCAAATTTCAGCTTCCTAGCATAAATGCACGTGCCTTTGCATTTTCTATTGTTTTTTCGGCTATTAGTTCAATAGTATAAAAGTATGTACAAGTATACTCGTTCGATTGGTTTGTTTCGATCAGGACCCAGTCCTCTTAAACGAAGTGACCGAGCCTGAAGTGTTTGAAAGCAAACCAATCAAGGCTGGTACCCGTTCGCAACGAACAGAATACTCAAAGTTACCGAGCCTGAACTGTTGAAAGCAAACTAATCAAGACCGGTGCTTGTTCGAGCTCGTTTGCAGCCACTCGTTCGAGCTCGTTTGCAGCCAAGCAAAGATCTGATTTGATTGAATTTTCCATATCACCTAAAACCTCTTTTCGGATGTGGCGCTGTCCTTGACAAGCACAGAATTGAGGGCAAGTAAAACAAGTGAAAAGCTGAAGTCGGGTGCCCCGAATTTGCAATACTCTATTCATATGTATTCATATAGAAAACTTATATTTTAAAAAATTAGCAAAATTGAAGAAACCCAATAAACGGAATTATAATATAAACATCTTCCTTCTAGTCAATTGTACCTTCTTCGTCATAAAAACTGGAGTAGTCAAAGCAGTAACAACAACAAAATCTGCGTGCAGAGCATGGACATTTGAAGCTATAATTATACTCTGTACATGAAATGTACAAGAGTATATTGGGTTTGCGGGAGGTGAAAAATGTAACAGGCAGAAGGAGGCGTGGCAGACCCCACAAAGTATATATATTCTTGATCAGCGTGAGTTGATCTAGCCCTGTCTATCTGTTTGTCCGTCTGTCCGTCAGTCTGTCTATCCGTATGAACACCTGGATCTCAGAGACTATAAGAGCTAGAGACACCAAATTTTGCACAAAGATGACTTATGTGCGTACGCTATACGAGTTTTTATACTCTGTACATGAAATTTACAAGAGTATATTAGGTTTGCGCGAGCTGAAAAATGTAACAGGCAGAAGGAGGCGTGGTAGACCTCACAAAGTATATATATTCTTGATCAGCATGACAAGACGAGTCGATTTAGCCTTGTCTGTCTGTCTGTCCGTCTGTACGTCTGTCCGTCCGTCCGTATGATCACCTAGATCTCAGAGACTATAAGAGATAGAGACACCAAATTTTGCACGAAGATGCCTTATGTGTCTACGCTATACGAGTTTTATTTTTTTGATTTTCCCCCCCATTTCCCCCCTATGGGGGTTTTCCCGATTTTCCATTCGTATAATCGCCTATATCTCGGAGACTATAAGACCTAGGAACACCAAATTTTAGTCCCAGATGCCTTATGTGAATACGCAGAAAATGTGTTTTTTGGAATTTCCCTCCCTCCCCCCTCTACCCAGCAAATCGTAACTCCCGTAATTCTTGGAATTTCGAACTAAAATTTTGGAAATACCCCCAGTTCGTTATTATGTGTCCATGTGTCAAGTTTCACTATGATAGACCGATTTAACAAGAAGTTATAGCCATAAATATATTTGCTTTTGTTTTCGCTATTTTTTTTTTTGCTATAATTATTGTAAACATATGTACAGAGCATTTCAAAGTCGGGACACCCGACCAGCTTTTTTACTTGTTTTTTATACCCTGTACCCGTAGGGTAAAAAGGGTATATTAGGTTTGTGCAAAGTATGTAACATACAGAAGGAAGCATCTCCGACCCCATAAAGTATATATATTCTGAATCAGCATGACGAGAGAAATCGATCTAGACATGTCCGTCCGTCTGTCCGTCTAGATGAACGCAAGGATCTCAGAAACTATAAAAGCTAGAATAACCAAAGTTGGCATCCAGATTCTCCTAGGTCCGAGTAAGGACGAGTTTATTTTATTTTTTTTAATTTTCCTCCCCTTCCCCCGCTACAGAATTTCGTCAATAGCGTCCAAATTTCAAATGCTACCTAAACCAAACTTTACACACATAATTTATATGTAATTGTCTACTGTTGTTCAAAATTCAATTATTATTATTCAATTCGGTCAATTCTAAGAAAAGTTATTAGCAAAACAAATTCTCGCCAGTACAACCCCCCCAAACTGCAGCAACAAGTTCGCTCTTCTTCTTCCTCTTTTTGCTGCTGCTATGGGCGCATATAACTCAGTGACGGAAGTTTACCTGGGTAAAGGGTATTACACTGTCGGGCTTGCTCGACTGTAGCGTTCTCTCATGTTTTTTTTTTTTTTTGATTTTCCCCCCACTTCCCCGATAATGGGGTTTTTCCGTATTTCCGTTTGTATAATCACCTATATCTGGAAGACCATAAGACACTTCAATTTGAAGTCCAAGACGCCTTATATTAACACGCACAAAATGTTTTTTTTTTTAATTTCCCTCCCTCCTCCCTCTCCACCGCAGTCACTGATAACCATAACTCCCGTAATTCTTGGAATTTTTCATTAAAATTCGGAAAGTACCTCCAGTTAGTGATTTTGAGTCCGTATGCCGAGGTTCATGTTGATAGGCCGTTCTAACAGGAAGTTATAGCCATATATCTATATATGACCAATCAGTGACCGCAGCTATTGTTGTTGTTACTGCTTTGCATAGACACACAGACACACACAAACACACACATACACGCATAGACACGAATAATTATTTTACACATATGTACAGACTTTAGCTTCTCTACTGGTTTTCTATAAAATTGGCCTGAGGACACATAAGCATTAAGAGGAGGTATTTTATTTCGGGGAGTGGGGAAGGGTGAAAAATTTATAAATACACTTGTATAAATCTGTGGGCACAATTGCGTGCTTTTGAAAAAATCTTCGAGACTGTGCAGAGATGCTTTACGCGATCATCAGTTATCGAGAGAGGTTTTTATTCGGAAAGGCACCTTTACAAACTCACTAAGACCAAACGGTGTAAAAGCAGCAGTCTTTTTAATATCATCTTCGGCCATTGGTACTTGATAATATGCACGCACCAAGTGCCGGGAAGATCGTTTTTCTGATCGTATATGTGCGCGATCGGATAACAATCTGGAATTGCAGCATCGCTTAATTCACGATAGCTCCCGCAAGCGCGCCAACTACCATTCTTTTTGGATACTAAGCGCAGTAGGCTGGACCAGGAACTCATATACTATACTATACTCGACAGATTCCCTGTTTGATGAGGAAATTGAATTCTGTATTGGCAGCTAAGAGTTTTTCACCGGCCGATCGATCGAAAACCGGGCTACCAGATGTTTCAATGAAATGACGGACCTCAAAATCAGTTTGTATTGTACATGCGGTTGACGTTTCAAAAATCATCATCGGTTTGTATTGTTGCGATCGCAAGTTGATCAGATATTATTAGACGGCCGCCTGTAGTTAATCCAGTCGTTGAGTCGCTGATTATTGCTATCATTGATGAGTTGAAAGTTAGTTATTCGCACCAATTATAGCAGTGTCTATATCAGCTATGATGAAGGGCCAACTAAAGTCGCGACGCAGTCCCAGCTTTAGTTGGATAATTTGTCTGCCATAAGTATGAAAGACGGATTGATTTGCGGCATACATGAGCATTGTTGGGTCTTCTGTTTTACTGCAGATTGCTTATCACAGACACCACTGAGTGTTTTGAGTCCACCAGAAATCGGGTTTGAGTTGCTTGGTCGAAAACATGTAGATGATTTGCATCCGTTGTAGGTGGTTTGACTTTTTCGCTGGAAGATTGTTGGCTTTCGTCTAGCAGCATTCGATGACAGCTTTGTTAGTTTAAGACTTGGTTCTGAGAGCAACTAGGCAGGCATTTGCGGGCATCATTGCCAAAAGTCTGATGATAAAAACAAACTTTAGTTTCTTCTTCGTCTGCCTTTTTATGGATCGTTTTAACGTGATCGATTACGATAACGGGGTTGTTCCAGATATGTAACATCGATTTGTAGCTTCTTGGGAAATCATTTTGTAAGGCTGCACAAGTTGACTAAGCAGCTGGCGTGATTTTGACTCAGGAGCTAAGTTGCATGCAAGTATAAATTTGACTCTCCACCTAAAAAGAGGTTGGATACTCAATATTTGAATGTGCTTTCCGTCGCGCCATAATTGTCACCTCAATCGCTTACTCCTCTCCCATCAACTCTTCAAAACATGCTCTCCAATGCTGTCTCTTTCAACCTCTCCAGGTCTTCTGTTTGAGACTTCCCCTGTACCCTCGCCGACTACCGTTTCAGCGACCCCTATTTTTGTCCCATCCGCACGCAGCGAAGAAGCAGCGCCGTCTCATAAACCATCTGAGCCTGTTTCTCGCATTCGTAAGAATCAATGCGAACTGCCCTCTGATGTAATAGTCGAAATTGCTTTGACCTTGTCACCTGCATGCCCTCTTTCCCTTTCAGCGCCTCTGAAGCAAGTATTTGGGTCAAGGCTGTCTGTTGATACTAGCTTTGAGTCTATCGCAGTTACATTGCTATGAAATTTTCTGCTAGGGTTTCATTCTCGATATTTAATTTGTCCATGCCCCGAGAAATTGCTTCTATTAAGATTAGTGTTCCGTTTGAAACTTTGAAACCATTTGAGACCCAAAATGTTGGCCACCGCATATGATAGTTCATGCGTTTAAATAGAAAAAACGCATTGATCCTAATCCGGTGTCCCTGCCAGTTAGTTCGTCAATACCTAACAATTGTTCAAAAAACTATACATTTTTCCAAAATCTCCTAATTTACGGTATTGCATCTGAACTTACTGCTTTATATAGGGATAGCTTTTCTTTTGAATTTGACTTAATTGCATTATCAGAGACGTGGTTAAATGCTATCATATCTGACTTTGAAATTTTGTCTAAGACCTTTATAATCTACAGACGGGACAGACCTGCACGCCGTGTCGGGGGTGTACTGATTGTAGTTCAAACCAACATCAAGTCGGAAATTGTCCACGTCGTGTAATAAGCCTTGCAAATGCTTTTGCAAATGTGATTTTGTTATGCTTAACCGTTCGTTTTAAAATACTAATTGGTCTTTCTTGTACATAAAGCTCCATAGATATAGATGCTGCTTTGACATTTTTTTATAACATCATGTATTCCATCTTTGATGTGTTCCTAATAGCGTCGCATCATCTTCTAGTCTTAAGCTTCCATGGATTAATATTTTAAAATGTCACTGAAATTTTCTGATCTCCTCGAAAACGACAATAACAAGTAATACTTTGAATACATATATGGCTATAACTTCCTGTTAAATCGGCCTGTCATTATGTTACTTAGTATACAGACTCATAATAACTAACTGGAGGTATTTCAATGAATTTCAATGAAAACTTCCAAGTAATACGGGAGTTATGGAAAATTATTGATTGGTGGTGAGAGGGGGGAGGGAGGGAAATTCCAAAAAACACATTTTCTGCGTATTCACAAAAGGCATCTGGAACTAATTAAGTGTACCTAGGTCTTATATTCTCCGAAATATAGGCGATTATACGATGGAAAATCGGGAAAACCGCCATAGCGTGGAAGTGGGGGGGGGGGGGGGGAGATCCAGATGTTCATATGGACAGACAAACGGACAGACAGGGCTATATCGACTCGTCTCGTCATGCTGATCAAGAATTCGAACTAAAATTTTGGAAATACCACCAGTTGGTTATTATGTGTCCGTGTGTCAAGTTTCACTATGATAGACCGATTTAACAAGAAGTTATAGCCATAAATATATTTGCTGCTGCAGCGCTGCCAACGGCTGTTGTTGATGTTGCTGTTTAGTTGACTGCGAAAATGCTTACACAGACACAAATAGACGCACATAAACATACATACACTCACATAGACGCAATTGCTTTGTATATGTGCAATTATATACCCTTTACGTGAGTTCGAATACCGAGAAAGGTAAAATCGATCACATTTTTTATACCCTGTACCCGTAGGGTAAAAAGGGTATATTAGGTTTGTGCAAAGTATGTAACATACAGAAGGAAGCATCTCCGACCCCATAAAGTATATATATTCTTGATCAGCATGACGAGAGAAATCGATCTAGACATGTCCGTCCGTCTGTCCGTCCGTCTGTCCGTCTGGATGAACGCGAGGATCTCAGAAACTATAAAAGCTAGAATAACCAAAGTTGGCATCCAGATTCTCCTAGGTCCGAGTAAGGACGAGTTTATTTTTTTTTTTTAATTTTCCCCCCCTTCCCCCGCTGCAGAATTTCGTCAATAGCGTCCACATTTCACTAAACTAAAACTACCTAAACCAAACTTTGCACACATAATTTATATATAATTGTCTACTGTTGTTTAAAATTTTATTCAATTCGATCAATTCTAAGAAAAGTTATTAGCGAAACAAATTCTCGCCAGTACAACCCCCCCAAACTGCAGCAACAAGTTCGCTCTTCTTCTTCCTCTTTTTGCTGCTGCTATGGGCGCATATAACTCAGTGACGGAAGTTTACCTGGGTACAGGGTATTACACTGTCGGGTTTGCTCGACTGTAGCGTTCTCTCTTGTTTTTCTATAATTATTGTAAACATATGTACAGAGTATTTCAAAGTCTGGACACCCGACTTTAGCTTTTTTACTTGTTTTTTTTTTTGTATTTTGTGGGAGTGGGTACATGCTATTTTACTGTCGGGCTTGATCGACTGTAGCGTTCATTCTTGTTTAGTTTTTTAGCAGACAATATTTTAAAAAAAATTTTAAACAATGTCATGCCCAAAAGTGTTTAAGACATTTTTTTATAAAATAAGCAAAATAACCTTAACAACGGTATATAAAGTCAACTTACTTCTGCTATCATAATAATACCCGGCTTGTGAGGAAATATCACATCATGGGGTGTTGTATAATTGGTTGCTGTAATGGAACACATTTGGGCTGCCATGCCTCCTTTAGCATCCTTCACTGTAACTTGGAAGTCATAAAAGCGGCCTACCTCCAGCCGTCGTTGTAGAACCACGTTCGCTTGACAAACAGAATTGTACTTTGTGCATGGAAGAGAAACAACTTTTACTACAGACAAAGATGCATCACCCATTAACTCAAAGATTAATGGATAGTCGAACTCCTCATGAGTCGCACGCAATCTATAGATTACAGATCCGATCTGTGCATCGGATGGAATAAGTACAAGTCGCATCAGTGTAGATGGATCAAACTGAGGATCTACACTGTAGGCATATTGTGGATAAATTAAACCAATTACTATGCTGATTGTCAGTACGTGATTGGCGAAAATTGTTTTTAGCCATGAGTGCAGTAGCAATTTTATGTAAGAGCGGTGCTGAGTCCGGTGCTTAAATGTAGGAATATGGTAACATTTTTTGTAAGGTGGTATCCGCATTTTAGTTTTTCTTTCTGTAGATGAAATAAGAGATACGACTCTGAGTGCAATTCCTTTCCAAAGGTAATCATGTTTGCTATTCATTTTATATCCGGAAGCCATTTCTGCAATTAAAAGAAGGGAAAGCTATACATATCCATATTTTTAAATTATACTCTGTACATAAAATGTATAAGAGTATATTAGGTTTGCGGGAGCTGAAAAATGTAACAGGCAGAAGGAGGCGTGGCAGACCCAACAAAGTATATATATTCTTGATCAGCGTGACAAGACGAGTCGATCTAGCCCTGTCTATCTGTCTGTCTGTCGGTCTGTCTGTCCGTCCGTATGCACACCTAGATCTTAGAGACTATATGAGATAGAGACACCAAATTTTGCACAAAGATGCCTTATGTGTGTACGCTATACGAGTTTGTATTATTTTATAGCAAACTAGCAGGTATTGCCCGTCTTAACCCGGCTCAATATGTTTCCAATTGTATTTATTTTGTGTGTGCATAACCTACCCATATGTATTCACCTTAAAGGTTACCAGTAGGAAGGCATTTAAGGTATTTAAATGAACATTTTCTGTTCTTGACAAAAAATTGTTCAGTAGTCCGTTACATTTTTGTTCTTGACAAACTATTTCGTTAAACGAACATGACCACTATAACTAATATTTTTTAAAGCTCGTTTTCCCCCCTTTGGAGCTAGAATTTTCCAAAAGCCTTTCTTAGTGTGCTCCTACACTATGATGGATACTATGAAACGATACTTGAGTCCAAATTTAAATTCACATTTGAGTCTTTTCGTGTCATATTGAGTCAATACGGCCACGCACAATCTCGGAATATGAAACACGGCACTCGTGTCAATGCCGTGCAGCGATGAGCCACGACCAAAAAGCACTGGCACCGATACCATCAAAATATCGAAGTTTGAATGCAATAAGCAGAATATTTAAATAACAAAATCTAATTATTTATTGAGATCAATAAGAACAAATCATATACATACATACATACATCTGCCCGCAATGCGAAGCAGAATATGCGTAGCTCCGTTATTCGGTTTCTGCTTTACTATCGCTTACGCAGTCGTTGCCTAGCGACGGTAACTGTAACATTTTGGCGTTTTGCCTTTGCAATTAACATTAAATGGTCAAAACGAAAGAAGAAGAGCGAGCTAATGACTTGCAGTTGTTGTTGTTTTTAGAGCATTATTTTTTTTTACAATCAAACAACTGTGTTCGATTGCCCAATGTATACATTAATACGAATGTACATACATGCTATATTCATACACAGGCATACATACATATGTACATATGTTTCTCTTTACTTTTTCAACCGTACGTAGAGAACCGCACACATAGACACGAACTGTTGCTTGTTGTGTGTGAGTGTGTGTATGTGATGTCCCCAACTATTTGATATTTGTTGTTGCTGCATAAAGTTATTAATGAAAACACTAATGCCAAATGCACTAAACAAAGAAAAAATTACTTTTAAAAATGTTATATTATATAATTTTCAATTAATTAACATTTCTTGCTCTGTCAGTGCAGGATGAATGTACATACATACATATGTAGATACATATGTACATACATAGATGTGCACATACATATGTATCTATGGACATTCACACATTAGTGTCTCACATTTTGCTTTGGCTATTTCAATCGTTTGCACGCAACTACACGAACAGCTGTTTGTATGTGTGTGTATGTATACTTAGTTGTCCCCTGTTTGATATTTTGTATTGTTTGTTCTGCCTGCTTTTGTAAAATGCATATTTTGAAAATCCTTGAATGCAAAGTTGTAGATTTAGTTACGTAGATTACATTATCCAAATTTTAAATCGATCGGACTAAATTTATAACACAAACTTTTCTTTTTAAATAGAGAATAAATATTAAAATAATTCAAGCTCCAACACAAATTTCGAAAATCCGAGTATGCAGTTTTGTTTGTATTCTTTAATTGATTTTAGAAACTAAGTTTTAAGTCGATCGGTTGAAAAATGCGGATTTTTCAAACAAAATTTGGAGCTACTTTTCCCCCCTTTGGTGGAAAAATCCCTTCTTAGCGCGCATCTACACCCTGATAGGATACTTGAACCCAAATTTCAGCATCCTAGCTTTTACCGTTTGGGCTGTGGGCTGTTGACGCGGTTTCCTTTTGTGCCCCAAGAAAACCCCAATAATTCAAGCTCCAACAAAAAATTTAAAAATGCGGATTTTTCAAACAAACTTTGGAGCTACTTTTCCCTCCTTTAGAGCTCGAATTTTCCAAAATCCCTTCTTAGTGCTCATCTACACCATGATAGGATACTTGAGCCAAAATTTCAGCATCCTAGCTTTTACCGTGTGGGCTGTGGGCTGTTGACGCGGATTGCTTTTGTGCCCCAACATTTTTTTTAGGCCCAAAAAAAATATCAAAAAACCAAGTATACAGTTTTTCTTGGAATTGGAATTGGAGTATACAAACTAAGTTTAAAGTTAATCAGATGAAAACTGTAGATTTTTCATACAAACGTTGGAGCCTGTTTTCCCCCCTTTGTCAGTCAGTCAGTCAGGACAAACTGTTTTATATATATAGATGATACTGTCATAATATATAATATTATATATAAATAATATAATATATAATATAATTATATAAAAAAAGGAAAAAACAGAAATGAATAATAAACAAGTAAAAAAGCTAAAGTCGGGTGTCCCGCCTTGGAATAACCTGTACATATGTTTACAATAATTATAGAAAATAAAAAAAATTAACATTAAAAAAAAAAAAAAAAAAATTTGATCGATTTTACCTCTCTCGGTATACGAACTCACGTAAAGGGTGTATAATTGTACAGAGCAATTGCGTCTATGTGAGTATGTGAATGCCTATGCGCATCTATTCGTGTCTGTGTAAACATGTTTGCAGTCAAAAAAAGCACCAGCATCAAAAACAGATTGGGACAGACAGACAGACAGGGGTAGATCGACTCGTCTTGTCACGCTGATCAAGAATATATATACTTTGTTGGGTCTGCCACACCTCCTTCTGTCTGTTACATTTTTTACCTCGCGCAAACCTAGAATACATACTCTTTCATGTACAGAGTATAAAAACATTTTTGTTTTAATAGTATTGGGATCAAAATGCATATCAGAAATTTTTCTGTATCTGGTGTGTAGCATCACTCGCTGAAAATGAATACTAAGATCAAATGGTACAAGTATGGTCTTGTTATGATGATCCAGAATATATACCTATTCTTTGTGGTGTCTGCCACGCCAGTCACTTCCAACAAAACTAATATACTCTTGTACCTTTTAGGTGAAAATTACAAGAGTTACGAGAGTTATGGAAGGTCAATAATAGCATGGGAGTAAGGGGAGGGGGGAATAAAACTCGTCATTTTTCCGACATAGGAGAATCTGCATGCCCAGTTTGGTTATTCTAACTCTTGTACGTTCTTTGCGTTCATATAGACAAATAGATAGACGAACATGACAATATCGACTCGTCATACATTTTCAGAATAAATAAATCCCGAACAGAATTTTATGAAAATTTTCCCAAAGCAGTAGAGTAAATTGAAAAGTTACCACATCTACATATAAACAAGTGGAGGCGATAAAGTTTTGTCCCGGTTTCCCGACTTTAAAATACTTTAAATCGATCAAAAATTTTTGTTGTTGTGTTGTTCTAAATTATTTTAAAATTTGTAGAAATATTCTACACATATGGACAGATTATTTCAAAGTCGGGACACCTAACTTGTTTTACTGTTTTATTTAACATACAACATTGTTAAGCAACCACCGCTGCTTCAGTGCTACAGTGACAAGGGAAGTTGACATAACCCTAATGCAAGAGCCTTAGATATCTGGTACCAAAATCCGAAGCCTAGGATCTCCCGCACGGACATCCTCTCTGATCTTATGGTAAAGATAACAACGCAATTGCATCTCACAGGTGAAATACCTTAACGGCAGATTACTGCATTAGTTCAGTGATGCGGACATCAAATCCGTAAGCCTGCAACTAAAGAAAGAAAAGTTTTAGCATCAAGAAATTAATTGTACTAAACTCTAAAATACCCCGGGTATTAAAAAACTAAATTTTTTTTTTTTAATATTTAAAACTGAAATTTGTATTTTTTTGAAATAATTTAATTAAGTAAAGGCCGTCAGCCAATGGGTGTCACAGGGGATTACGTATAACCACCAAACTAGGTGGTACGCGCCGTAATTGTGATACACCACTGCTAGTGCGACTATAGTTTCCTCGCGAGGGTGGCTGAAAGTAGGCCCTTGGTTTTGTCATGTTTCTGCCAGTCAGACACTTCGGTGATGATGCCACCAAAAACCATGACAACGTTTCAAGACAAGAGACCCGCAGCTTACAACCTACCCAATAGGTAGAGTGGGCTAAACGAATTTAAACAGAGCAGAATCAAAGCCTTTGAGTGTCACGACAAGCTGTCGGTCGAGGCTTACAAAAAGTGTATTGTTGCACTTGGTTTATCAAGGTGCGAAGACATTTGTGGATAGGATGGCTACGAAGAAACGAATCCACCTCCTTTGTTGACAGACAAGTCATTCCACTTTCGTGATAAGGCATTGAAACCAGGTTCTTGACCTCACACTAGCGTCAGACGCGCTGATGTAGTGTGGATAATTCTATCAGAAAACTCCTTCTCTGACCATAGATATATTCAATTCAATCTTTCTCTAAAGAATGAGAGATCAATTATATATTCAAACAATATAAGCAATCTACTATCAGACTACCCGCCTCAGGGCCCAACCACAGTGGATTTCATCTCGACTCTAATAAACAAGATCATTATTCCCCATTGGGAAACCAAGGGGAAAACTCAAGCCTTCCTAGTGGATTTTACAAGTCAATGAGTCAAGAAAAAAGTCCAGGAAACATTTCAATGCAGCCAGATCCCTGGGAGGGGAGTTAAACTGGTGTGCATACAAGCAAAGTCTGTACAGAGTACAACAAAATACTCAGACAGGCGAAAGGATCTTCTTGGCAGAACTTCTGCTTTGATATTGAGAACATCTCCGAGGCCCAAGGTTCTCTCAAAAACTCCCTCAATG